CACGTGGATGCATATATACAAGATATTAAAATATTCGTGGGACATCTTTTGAAAATCTTCTAGAAACTGAAATAAAAATTGATATAAATTCAAATACAAAAATTTCGATTAAGTTATAAACAAATTAACTTATTTATTAAATTATAAGCAAACAATTTGCATTGGATGAAACGAAAAAAATAAAGTGAGATCATTTTATCTCCGTTGCATAATTGCAATCTTCTACGTTCCATCTACGCAAAAATTATAATTTAATAAATGAATCTAAATTGATATTAATTTTTTATTTGTTTGTCTCAATATATATACTGTGTCCAGAAAATAATGAGACTTATAGAAATGTAGATTTTTCGCTTTATGAAAAATATATATTATCTTTTTCGTTATAATTTTTTTCGAGAAGTCACGATTTTTGAAATGCTTTTTGATTTTAGAAAAGAAATAAAAGTCATATGGATTAAATTAAAAAAAAATACATTTGATTGAATAAATTTAATTGACGGAATTTTAACACATTTTTATAAAATTCATTGTCAAGTCATTTGTGTTATGAACTGATATTGGAAGCATTTTATAATAAAATAACATATAATATCATCAGATTCCGAGAAACCGGGATCATTCTTATTTTTAATTACTGCTATTATCCTATTGCATATAAAATAGATACATGTGATATATAATATACAAAAAAATTATGGAAAAAATTATTCAAAAGAAATATCACTTCCTATATCTAAAGCAATAAACCTCGCGCTATTCAATAAACACCTTAAAATCGAAGTACTGCTCCAAAACTAGAATTCTCGAAGCTTTTACAACTAATAAAACTATCGAGAATTTCAGCTTGTCCAAGACTTTCTTAGATTAACAGCCAAGGCCCATGTAATTTAATCAAACGATACATGCGACATTGTCATGTTTCTTGACGAGACTAGGCTAGGCTAAGTAGCCCGGCAAAAATCAGCTGGCAACCTGAGCATAAACTTCGACATGCTCCTCAGACACTCTCGAGCGACAAAAGAAGCTTCGTTCCACCGCGAGGGGTCGATTTTTCCAAGATTTTTCCATTCATAAAAAAAATAGAGGAGCCGAAACACACGCGTATATATAACCAAGGATTGCCCCTCGCTTCGAGAGTTCTCTCCACTCGCTTCTTTTTTCTGATGCATCTTTCATAGCCGAAGACTTAGAATGTGTCCCGCATTAAAGCGCTGCACAGCCTAATTTCGCATTCAGATTGTCATTTTCGCGTTGCAACGCGCGCGATGTCTCGCGGTGCTCGTAAAAGGAACTTGCTAATGTTTCAAGCAACGAATGCAACAAAATTCTTTAATCTCGACGAGGCTTCGAAGAGGCTTCTCATCCTATGCAAAATACAAAACAGCTATCGTAAAACCGTTCCCTCTTTAATGAACGGATCTCGAGGTAGTAAAAAAAAAAAAAAGAAAAAAAAAAAGAGAGATCGGTCTTAAAAATGTAGCAATCGTAGACTGGATAAAAAGAAAGGCTAGATGTATTCGAAGTGTCTAATAATGAAATTAATATCCGTTTTCAACAGATAATGACTCGATTATCGTTATATATTATGATGTTCGATTAAACTATAGAAAAATATGCATTTATATTTCTCTCTCTTAAACACTTCGTTCTTTAATAGATGAGGACAAAAAATCGAAGACTTAATAGCTCTGGATCATTCTAGATCATTATAATATGTAATTTATCTTTATACAGAGATAACGAGGAAACGGAATTACTTTGCTCGTGGCTTGGATAAAAAATAATATAATTCTAGATGCAGATTTAAATTGATAGTTTGAAGGTTTTCGTTGGCGATTTTTCCTGTATGGAATAGTATTTCTTGTTTCAGAATTGCAATGGAAAAGAATGGTTCCAAGGAAGATAGGTAGGTGGAAATAGCGTCTCGTATTCAGCAGACGATAAAAGAAGTAGAAAAATTCGATTTTCCATAAAACTTTAAATTTCCCTGTCATCCTGTTTTCTTACCACTTCAAGTTGAATGTTTAATGTTTTTAGATTTTCATAGCTTAGAATACGGAACAAGTGGGCGGTAAAACGAACCGGTAGTTTCAGAAGAAATTTTAACGTGTACAAGTTTCTTAATGACTAAGAAACGCGAGCCTTCTCGAATTCAAAAAGTATTTAAACAAGCATCAAACACGAACTTCTCGAGAGGAAAAAAGAGATGAAGGAAGTTGGAAATTCGAATTTTATTAGCGCCTTTCAAAGTTACATGATAATCGAAAAAAAATTATTCCATATGATGAATCAATTAAATATTATTGCAATAGTTGGCTCTTATAAAATGATTCTCATTGAAAATTATTGAAAATGAAAAAAATATTCAGAGATAAAATGGGCGAATATATCAGACATATATCTATTTTTTATATCGCTTTTTAATAGACGATCACAAATATGTCATATCTAGGTCAATAAATCTTTAATTTCACAAGTCTAGGGAAAACTAAAATAATATTTCATTTATGAATCATTAAAAAATTTAATCGTATCAATTAGTTAATTATCAAAAATTTAAAAATTAACTTATAGAATTTTTTTATGTTTTGAATATTTTCAGTTTTTTCAATTTTTAAAGTATTTATATTAAATCCATATATAATATATAAGTATATACATATAAAATTGATAAAAATAAAATTCATTATTCCGTAAAAATTCTATAATTATAAAAACTATTTTAACACTACTTTATAAATCTATCGATAATAAATAATAAGTATCTATCAAATATTATATAAATATATCGACAAGATAATGATAATCACGTGTCCACGTGATACACTAGTAATACTTACTATTTTCTGCACGAATGTTTCTGCGCAATAAATTGAACCGCAACGAATAAATACATTCTTACATAATTCTAAAAAATCAGTTCAATTATTTGTTTCCTTCATATTCATATTGTCATCTTTATTGTAAATATTAATGATGAATAAAACTTATATAACAGTTTTGCAGCAATATTCAAGATTTTCCTATTTTAATCATATAAATACATATGATTAAACAAGTCATTTTCTCGTAAGAAAATTTATTTCGAATTAATTTTTTAAGTATTACATATTGTGGATATTATTTGAATTGATGATTAAATGAATGTGAATCGATATGAAATTCAGATTTTTTCAATGTCAGTCGTAAAATTTCAATTTTGTCTTTTTTCAATAATTTTGAAATTACTTTTAATTATAATTTTTACAGAATATTTAATTAAGATTTTTTGATAAAAAAATACTTTCGCACTTATTTGATATATTTTAAATAGTAAAAAGTTAAAATTAGGAATATATCAATATTTTATAAAATAGTTGAAACTTAGAAATATTCGCCGACCGCATAAATATTCCGATGAATTATATATTATATATTATCTGTAGGAAATGTTCAAAGTACTTATTGTTAATAGCTAATGACTTATGTCAAAGAATATCGAAACAACTATCGAGACTTCGATACGACACGCGTTCATAATTCTAGAAATAATTTCAACGAGGAAATCAAGGTGAAATTGCGTCAGACAGATAACAACGAAGCGCGATATGTAGGCATTTAAAAGGACCGCGCTTGTTTACACTCTGGCCCGGTCGACGTGCACACATGGCTTTCGTCTCTTTTTGCCAGACGAGAATTACGCCGACGGCTAGACACTGCATATAGAGACATCTTGGCATGCGGTTGCATTGCCACGCGAAAAATGCGGAAATTTTTCATCGATATTTTTTTTTTATTTTAATAACATTATAAAAAATAACAATGTATTGTTCAAACATACCGGTATAAAAAAAAAGTCTATTCCAAGAAACCATTGATTCGAGACGCTGTTCCATCCCAAAAACACCGAGTCACCTTCGACGAAACTGCTTTCCAAGAAATCTTTTCCCGTTCTTGGGTCAAGATTTGTTGATGGCCAAGTCTCTTTTCGTCCAACCTTTCTATCGTTCTTCCTTCTTCATGGTTCAACACTATTTCTCTCTCATCCACACTCTGTTTCCTCACACACATTCACTCGGGAAACGTCACCGATTCGTTCACGCCGGGACGCATAGTAGTTTTCCGTTCCCTTTTGTTCTTTGCATGCTTTCTGTCCTTGTTCTGTTCCTATGCCAAGCACACGAGCAGCACACACGATTGTCACGCGACGCACTTTAGGCGCGATCACGAAGACGAAAATCACAATATTACATGCACGATGAACAATACAGCAAGCAGCACATTTGTTTCGATAAGTTCCGTATCGCGAATATAAACGATACGGAAATAAACGAGATCACCGCGACCGCGAAACGAGAGTTACGTCTCGACACATCTCTGTCTTTGGAGGTTAGGTTCGGTTATCTGGCGTCTCTTTCGTTCTCGGCTTGCCAAAGCACGCGTCTCCGACACTCGATTGCGAATGGTCTCGAACGGCTCTGACGACGACACTCAGACAGCATGCACTACCGACACGGACACAAGATAGACTCGTACTCGTCTCTAGCTCGGTAGAACCGGCGAAAAACTGCGAGAAAATCCAGCCATGCTGACTGCGCGACCGGCGTCAGACTGCCGCGAGGACAGAGCGGGGATTCAGTTGAGTGGCATCGCCCGACAAGCGGGGCCCCCCCTCCATCTGCCACACTCGACCGCCGGACTCTCGTCCCTTCTGCCCCTTCCAAGCGTTCCACGCGTTTCTCCTCTCGTCCCTACGACCCTTTCCTCCCCACTATTTTGTCGTTCGACTCACTCTTCGCGTCGCCTCGCGAACTTCGTCGTGATATCCATCCCCTCCATTGTACGAGCAAGCAGTGAAAGAGAGGTAGAGCGAGGAAGAGAAGCACGCGTATACCGCGTGTAAGAGAAGGACTGACGGAACGGGAATGCAACGCATGCGCAGTGCAACGGTCGCGGCACGCGGTCGCGCCCAAACGCATCTTCTCGCGATCCTCATATTGATGTACTACGCGCTTGCACTCACGGCGAACCGATTGCGAGCCTCGCGAATACCGAGCGATTCATACGTGAGAGATGAACGAAGCAGCTCGTTAAGAAACCGCTGTCGGCCACGAGATATATAAGCATCTTCAGTCGGATCGTTTTGAACGCCATCGTACAAGAATTTGATCAACGACAGATCACCGACACGCGTGACAGAGAGTTGAATATCCTGTTCAATCATCATCTATCGGGGTTAAGTTGTACGTTATATAATACATCACGTAACAGTAAAGGTATCAATGTTATCGTATTCTTTCCAATGTTATCAAAATTCACATAAACCCTGTTTGTTGAAGACGTAACTCGTTTTAAACGGTTAACAACTTCTTCGTTTATTTCTTTTTTATCTTCTCCTTTCATTTTTTTCTACGTCGAAGATAAGCGATATTTGCCGGAAAATAAAATAACACGTCGATTCACGTGCATTTTTTCACGAGACTAGCTGCAATGCTGCAGTAGCTCAATATTTCCAGTCACGGGCAATTGATTACACTTTCAAAAGCATCGCAAGACAAGTCGGAGTCCCGGTGGATTCGCAACTTTCCTCAAGATCGTATTATGCGCTTCCCGACCGTACCAATCCCCTCGAGTCATCCTTGAAAAATATTTTTTTCTTTTTCCATTCGGAACGATCCAACTTTCCATCTCATCCGTCCCATCGTTGAATTCTTCATCGATATAATTCTCGCCGCGGCGTGCAGACTGCACCGCGAAACGAGTCCATGGAAATGGCTCGGTCGACGCGCGGGGTTAACTAATGAATTCCGGCGCGGTTGTGCCGGGTCGGCTGCGTTTCGAGGTCTTATCGTTGGTTGGAAATCAGCCTGGTTGGCAGATGTTCGCAGAAACCTCGACCTCTCTCTCGTTCTTCCTTCGTTTCTTTCGCGGCCAGACGCGTTCCGTGCTGCCTCCACCCTCGTAACCTTCTTCGTTTACGTTTTACAGACGGGGAAACATCGGCGCCCGAGCGAGAGAACGATAAACTCGAAGCATCTTCAGTCTTTACTATCTTCAGCTTTTCCTTTGCTCTTCATTTTGTTAAGTGGATATAAATTATTAAGTGGATATCAGGATGGTCGAATTATTTAATTTATTATTTTCTATTAATGCCATCGGTTCCGCGATCACAGTCCATTGCCCATTTGGGATGTATGATATCGTTAAATTAACACGAATTCGAAACTCGAAATGTGATCTTCTAAATGAATATATATATTTTCGATTGTGAAATTGAAATATTATGAGTATTTTATTTGAATTGTATTTAAATTTTAAAATTAAATAAGCTCAAATCTAATCCAATCTACAATCTAATCATATTTACTGATCTAAATTCTTATTACTTTTATCAGTTACAATGAAAATTCAGTTCTCAAGGATAAAAAATATTGAATTAATTTTTCTTAATTCTTCTAACGAAACTTATGAAATAATACAATTCGAAATAAAGTTAAAATGAGAAGAAAGATGCAAATGCACCGAGTTCCATTTGCCTCCGCTAAGTAGGAAACTACTTACAAGAAATATTCCAAAAGATGGATATTTCTTTCTTCCTCTTCCTACATACGTTTTTCTGAAATCTGTGCCGAATACGATACCGACTGGCCCAGATTCTGCCGCAACTTCGCTCAAAGAAACTTGTTTCCGGCGTACACAGCATATATCATGGTGCTCCTTGTGCGGGGGAGGGGGCAGTTACGAGAGGAAATGAAATTTTTTTTTATTCGCTACTCAAAGATACAATCGTATTTCCACTTGACGAAGGAAATGAAAACTTTCTGGCCACGTCTCTCCTTCAACGTTTTACCATATTGCGCAAATAGAAACATTATTGAGATAAGAATTCCAAATAGCGGGAAACAGTTTCTCGACGACGAATCAAATACGATACTTTCATGTTATTAAAAAAGAGAAAAAGAGAGGAAATAAAGAAGAAATCGCCTATTTCTTCCCCACGTGGAACTCCACCAAACGATGTCATTGAATTTTTCAGTTACGAAACGACCATGAATTTCCGCGCCGATAATAGTAAAGATCCGAGGCGCGCCTTCGTTCGTTCTTTCCGTTGAACGCGATACCGAGCGTGTCTTACAATAGGCGGAAACTGAAAACGTCACGTAGCAGAATGAAATTCAACCATGTATTGCCGGAGAACGTCAAACCGGTCTGATCGCGTGTTGTCCACATTGGTCGCGTAGTACGTACCGCCTCGCGATTGTCACTAGACGACTGCCTCATCTTATTTGTCGTTTCTTTTGTAAAAATCGGCATCCCACGTATCGAGATGGTTCGATCGAGCAACAAGAAGGCGAAAGCATTCCGACGAGTCCCTTCTCCTTCAAAGAGTTATATATTACTAGTAATATATTACTACATTTATCTTGATTTTCTTGATTCCTTTTTGATTGTACAGGATTTTTATCCCCTATTAAATTTTCTTTGTTTAAATTATATATCTTCCATCACATTTTCTTCTTCAAATTTTAATTTTTTATTTTTTTTTATTTTTTTCTAATTCGTCTAATTTTGTATATCTTTATTTTCGTATTTTCGTGATATGTTCAAGTTATCTACCATGAATTTGTATTTCTAATCTTTTATCCGATTAAATAAGATTAGAAGCGTGTATTTGAATGTTGATAGAATGAATTTTTTATATAAGAATCGATTGAAAGATTTGCGACGAACCTCATTTCTTTACAAAGAACAACCGTAATTTAATCGAGACTTTATGTTTTTCGATCACTTTCAACCACTTTTGTTAACGAACAACTATTATCGTGTGCAATTACCTTGTCATTCAATGTGTTTTACACTCGGTGTACATATCTCAATTGTGTGATCAAACAACGTAGCGGGATCTGACGCATCGAAGGGCGCGATAGGTGCTAATTAAATGCGTCCTTTGATGCGATACAAGACTATAGACCGTCTAACAATGAACACACCCTTCGTAATATTGATTCGTATAGAATGGTGCTTCGCAGAAAATTAAGGCGACTGTTGCATGAGCATGATTGACAGCTTCGAATGTAAACAGAACAAATTGTCACACTTAATTAAAAATCCATCTTTTCCATGATCCATATTTTTTTTTCTTCCACAAACATGTCGACTGGCAAAACAGAGATATTTTCTCTTTTTTTCGACCAATATATTTAGGCAAAATGAGTCGAAAACTCATATTTAGAATTACAGTAGTAGCGCCATTGGCAGAAATATATTAAATGAAAGTACGTTAACATTTTATCTAATATCATTTTATTTACGCAACTCTCTTTATTAAACATTCCTAAATTTTAACTACAATCGTTACAACAATCGAATCAAAATTCAATCCTTTGCCAATGATCTCTATTTTCTCCGTCAAATAATACGTTTAAAGCAACAAATAACCACCAGATTAAACGTAACTTGTAAAGAACGAAAATGCTGCCGGTATATTCACCAGAGATTACAGATATTCGACGATATCGGATACGATTCCTGTATCGAGCAATGCTGTACATAGATACATTTCGATATAAAGCATCGTCAAAATCTCTACCAATGCTATCAGCATAAAATACAATCTATCAAAATCTCTCTCTTTTTTTCTCTTTTTTGAAAAAGATCAACCGTTATAAATTTTTCTCTATACTTGTTTTCTCCTCTATTCTTGCTTTCAATACATTCCATACATACATGCTATAAATAATCTCTCTTGTATAAATTTGGTCAATTTGTAATTTTGTCAATTTTCTAGTAAAACTTTACACATTTCAATATTAAAATTTAGCCCAAAGGATATTTTAAGGAAGTAGATAGATCTTCAGTCTCCCTAATTTTCTTCAAACAACGTGTGATTATGATTCCAATTATCCTCTGATCGATCCACCAGGAAAGGGCGCATGGTGCACAAACTTGGAACGATAATCGACAAGGTGCTATCAGTTCCTCGCCTTTCAACTATCCACGCCTCGATTGCAAGCAATTTAGCAAATCTATCAGAAATCACGATTCCTTGAGCGGGCGTCGATCAACGGCCTCCTCTCTTAAATTAGGCGACGCGACATCTCGAGTTGATCCCGGCCATCAAGCGGGAAACGCATCGCAGTCATTAAGCCGGGGATCGATTAAGCATCGCGGGGATGTTTGTACGACTATGGTAGGCCTGTGCTATCTGATTTATTAATGAACTCGAATACCGTCTCTGGAAATTAACCTCGTCTAGTTGGCGTGTTTCTGCGTTCCGTGGCGCAGACATGATCATCAGCGAGCTCATTGGCCAACGGTACATTAACTAATTACTCCCGGAATTCGAGCTTCTGGCAAGTCGATATTCGGTTATTGGATTATGTCGGTATTTGGCTATGTCGGTCGATTTTAAAAAAAATAAAATCTTTCGCGCGAGAGGGTTGTAACAGAACTCGAATCGATTTCGAGTTGGACGAAACGAGTTCAATGGGAGTGGATTGAATTCGTCACATTGGGAATGAGTGGGAGGAAGTGGTCGGCAGGTTCTTTAAGGATAGGGAAGGATCCGTAAGTTCGATAGATTGACGATTTCAATCGTTCGAATAAGGGGTTTTACCTTCGTTAATGGGATATT